AATCAATCCATTATGGCATGGAGCGCATGCTTTATTATCGGGATTAGTTGACTCACTGCTGGTCTCTTCTGTCCATTGGCCTGCTTAGTAGTCCCACCTCTTGGGAGGGGTTCAGGCGCGGGTATGCACAACCAAAATTGTCGGTTCTTGTCTTTTCAACTTCTTGCATGAGTGACTGTCAGATGAGCTCCTCTGCCAATTTTGTGATTAGAGGTTGAAAAGCGAAATTTGCTCTGCCATATTCAAGGTGTTATTTGTGGATGTCAGGTCACCGATTGCGAGACGGTTGTTTGCATTCCTAAGGCTGGCTTAAAAGAATAGTCCTGCTCAGTATTCGTCACTTTTTGAGAGGGTATCGGGTTCCCGCCTACCTTCGTATTCCGGCTTGTTATAAGAATCATCTGTTCGTGGTGGATCCCTGATTCAAGCGTCCATTTCTCTCCCGTCTGGCCGCCGAGCTCACGTGTTCGAGTCATCACGAGCCAGGTCCGAAATGCACTTACCACCCATAACAGCAAAGGTTTCCTCAACTACCACCCAGGCACTAGTCATTCGCCTCATTGCACGATGTCTGCTGCTCTTGTACTTTGACCAAATAGCCCGCTACTGACGGTACTCTTTAAGCTTGTAGTCACGATCAGTTTAGTTTTGTAGCTATCAGCAGCCTGATTTTTGTAGAGGTATATCAGTTTCAAGTGGTTTTTATGCTGTATTGATAGCGTTTCTGCCCATGATTGAGTAGAGGGGAGGCTTGTTTTTCGATTGTTGACTTTCATTTTGCCCTGCATCTTAAAAGACCGTTCTCGTCCCGACTGGACGGCAGATTCGACCTCACCTCATTGTGTCATCACTACAACAGAAGAGCTGGTCGAAACTGACTTGCCTCCAAAGAGGCCTGTGGGAGAGGCCTGGTTTGCCTGCCCTGTGGGATCTACTGTGTGGGGCGGTGTGGCTACCACGTGGCGTGCAAGATTCACTTTCGAGTCCTGTTGGGGCACTGGTGAGAGGAAAGCCTGGCTTTTTTGGAGACAATATTCCGTTAAGAAGTGGTCTGGCCACGTTTTCGCAACTTGGTCGTGTTGTCACGACGACCTAATTGCACACTGTCCGAAGTCCTCTGTTACGGTAGTTATCATAATTCTCAGCGTCGGAACGTGGACTTGGTACATTCCCTGACGTTCACCTGGCGTCATCATTTCGACTGAACCCGCAAGACTAGGAATTATCATGAGTAATATGGTAGACTGGTTCGTTTTTCTGAGGTCTGTCCTACAACCCAACCAAGCGGCAAAGACTATGTAAGAAAGATCCCTATCCTCGAATGGAGACTGTAACAAAAATAGAAGCAACACCGCCTTCATATTCATATCTTATCACCTTCGTCTTTACATCACCTTAAACTCCCTAGGCTGATTCGAGTTGTAATTAAAATATTTTAATTTGAGTTTTTGGAATATGTTCTGCGCTCTTGCTTGTCACGTGGGAGACATTAGAGTTTGGCATTTAGCGATCTCTTCATCTCTCTCTCTCTCAATTCACCGATTAGCCTCGTCACTACATCGCATCTATCTATCAATCCTTTATAATTATAGGCGATTTTCAACCGATCACATTATCGCCATCTATACTCTAGCTTTTCATTGGACTGACCTGTCAGACCAAGCCAGTCCAGCCAAAAGGAGCCAATTGGGAAGTTGACACGTCTCACACAACGAGTTAAATATAAAGAACCAACACTGTAAATAAAGAACTTCTGACTAGATAGCTTTTTAGCATGACTGTGGCTTATGCTCCCCCAGGTCGTCTCCGCCCCTAATCCCTGGGCTTATGCTTCGCTCTCATACATTACTTGGTCTTATGCAACTTGCTTGTGAAAGATCTCCTTCTCCTGTTAGGTCGGGTACCTTTACGGAGCCAGCTTACAAAAGACGTCATTTCTATAGCAACTATTAGTTGATCTTGAATAGGAGCCCCTGCAATCCTAGGTTGCTTAAGGTAATGAAAGTGTGATAGTGGATTTTCCCTTAATGATATGAGGAGGCCTCACGATGTCAATCCATTTCACCCTATCAGTCATCAACACCCGGAAACGGGAATTGAACTCGGGGGGCGCTTTCCACCCTGGCTGGAAATATTTGTAAATACAAAGCTGAGTGAAATAAAATACGGCAAATTTCACCATCAGTCCTCCATCACCTTGGGCGACCTAATAGCCACATGTCTTATTCGAGATCTACTGATAGTCCCGGAAACCTAGTCATTACGAATACAAGTAGTGTGTTCGATTTTAATGGCGAATACAAGTTTCTTCATCAGCAATCCCTCTATGAAATGTGCCTGACATGCATAGGAAGTAATTTCTGTCCTGAGACTCAACTATGAATACTTAGATCATCTCAAGCAATCTAGGATGACTAAGTTTTCATTCCATTAGGTATGCTTCAATAGTCTCTAGCTTCGCTATCGATTTGACCACTTCTAGCATTTATTCCTAATTCCCTTATGGCTTGTGAGCATACTAATATCGAGGCATTCCTCGGATAGATTCACACTCAGTCGGGCAGCCAATAGGATCAATTACACTATCTTCTTTGGCCTAATTAAGTTTCTCATGATTCACTAAACTAGTATAGTTAACTAATCGATAGTAGATATGGTTATGCTTCGCATTCAGCCATAGCTACCAGACTATAGTTTATAGTCTCGGACACATTAATTTTGGCCAGAGTCAGGCCTGGAAACTGCATACAAACTTGTTCTGCATCTCGGACTATATTCAGGTCTTCCTCTCTAGTATTCCAATGTTTTGACTATGCATTTATAGATGGCATGTTTTATGATATTCTAGTTTGGGCAGATCAGATTTTCGCCTACTCTTTAAGTTGGAGATGAAGTTGGGAACAGGGCTGGTCCCACTCATACTTTATTCTCCTTCATACCACGCCAATTGGCGAAGCCTTGGCCATTAATTTTGCTGCTTAAGTATACATTGGTATGCAGCAAAATTATGTATTGCAAAGAAGCAACGATCCATTTCAGGTTAGTTTCTCGATTAATGCCTTTCATATAGTTAACCAGTCTGGAATTCTCGCTGTGCTTTTACTGTGAATATCTCTATTGCGTCCATCTGAAAGTACAGTGCGTTGCAATCATTAGAAAACGGTTTGCTCAATTTGTACTTTTTTAAACAATCATATAGAGACTGTTCCTTTGTATGAGCCACCTCCAAGCATTCTATGCATGGACTTAGAAACCAACATCATTTATTTCTTGCTACTTGACACATTGAGCCAAATTATTCTCGATTTTCCCATACCAAGTAATTATTTGACTTTTACCACCGATCACTTGGCATGTAGCCGTTTCGGCAGCGAGAGGGACGTCCATAGTAAGATCCCTACTTGATTTGCCTCGACTTCGGAAGAGGACAGCTCTGTTCCGGTATTCAGAGCAGAAATGCAAAAGTTTTTCTCATTTTCCCCAAATTAGTCATCCGCATAATTTCATCTAGTTGCTATTGCAACTCGGGGTTCTCTATGTTTTTATAGAGATGAAGATCAGGGGGCCAGATCTGGAGGATGTTGAGGATGTGGAGGACTTGACCCATTCCGAAACTAACTTTCTTGATGGCAGCCAAAGCTGACATGGGCCTCGTGTTAAGTTGGGGAAAGGGTCTCGGTTTGTTTTGTTATGCTGCGTACTTTTGATGTGTTTTAATATTTCATTTATATACGAAGAAAATGCGGGTTTTGAAGCATCCCCTGAGATACGATTTGATGTGAAGACTTTCAGTTCGTATGGAAATACGTGATGGAGAGATTCGTATGTCAATCTCACCAGAAGACGTCGGCTGATTCGCGTTGCAGTGCAGCCTTTGGGCCTTAATACAACGTTCAGGTTGATATAGTCCACGAGGCATCCTTCACCGTTTCGGGTGAAGACGGGTTGAGCTTTCGTTTGTCATGTGACGAACATCGTCAGGGCTGGGACTCATTTTTGTAAAAGCCGAAAGTTAACACAAAGTCTTCTTGACTTCAATCAATCTTATCTCATTTGAGCCTGTGTGTACAGCGGACAAAAATGATATTTGAGCTTGTATGACCGCATTTTTGCAACCTTGTCGACGAAACGTTTGCGAATGTGTCAAGTCCACGGTCCAAAGCTATAAATTACTATGAATACTATGGCAGCAGAGGCTGCTGACTGGGTATGTTCCAAGAGGTCTCTATGTCGCCCAGACCAAGCTGATACGAGGCATGTTAACTGATTTCGGCCCTAAGTCCACACCATTTCAGTCATCGTATCATATGGGTGGTCAATAACACTCCTTTGCACCACAAAATGAATACAATTATTTTGTCTTTTAACTCTGTTACTGAAACATTTTCAAATAAAGTGAAGATGCCCCATTTAGAGAATCACTTTTATTTCGTTTGAGGAGTGTGTTTCCGCACCATGATTTGCTGTTTTACCTTAAAATCAAAGTGGCGACGCCACGCTTTATGTATGACAGCATCTCTGGACTCAGATTGACATAAACGGGTTACTTTTTGGCATTGTTGGTAGACGTTTTGCAGAAACTTTTCTAGCCTGTTTTACTCCTGAATGCTTGACTGTGTACTGTCATAAAAATACGAAATTACAAGTTTTCAAATACGCCCGACATTTACTCACATGCTAATCATGAAAATAATTCGGACTCGTTAATGGATTTCGAAGGTGTCTCTATTGAAATCTTCATATCAGTTAATATCTGTACAGTAGATACCAAATTTGGCGCGGGGTGTACTCGAAACCCGCAGGGAATACAGAGGCCCTTGGTCACACGACCCTAGCCACGTTGAGTTACTTTAATGTCTTCTTAGGTGAGGACTTTTGCGTCAACTGGTAACCCTGTGTTTGCTAGTTAACTCGAAACGCTACTAAGGTCGTGCCGGTACTAACTTGGTATCTTGGTTGTAGCTTGATTTGCTGAGAATGGCAAGACTCACTGATGATGCGGACTAGGATGCCGGCGCAACGTCTGGGAATGTACCAAGTTCACGGTCCGACTCTGAAAATGATCATGCATACAATGGACTCCGGACTAGGTGCGTTCCTCTAGGTCTTCTTACCAATATGTCAAGGTTGCCAAAACAAGGCCAAACAACTACCAAATCTCGTCAGATTAGTCCTATAAACCTGCAAACTTTTCTGAGTAATCACATAAATAGGCCACCTTCCTCAGATAACTGTTTGTTGACATAAGGTGCTGGGAGCAGTCGGCCTTATGCCAGTTTCTTTTATGCTTTTGGTAGAATACAATCGGCATAGTCCGCTTTGAGTCATTTCATCTGTTCCGGAATGTATCAGCAGGCGCAGCTGAAAATTATTCAGCACTGACCGATGTTTGCATTTTGTTTGAAAAAGAATACTTTTGTTTGCCTTGCTGCTGACTTTCGGGTAAACAAAATTATCTGACCAAGTCTAGTTGAGG